ATCCAGCGCCGAGCAGCCCAAACAATTGGTCGACGGCAAAGTGACGTCGAGTAGATGTGAACGCCAAACAGTCCGACCAACTGGTCGGCGACGAAGGCATGAACCTACGGTCCAACTAGTTGATCGGCGAAGAAATCCGAAGGCCAGGTGGTGCGACCATCTACACGATAATCCTCCAATACAAATATGTAGGACGAATAACAGAATACATGAACGCGGTGATAAAGAAAGCAGAGCGGAGTTTATCAGGAGCGATATATCGGTGAATTTTATATCCTGCAGAGCAGTTTATGTTTATTTGGAGTTTGTTCAAATTTGTAAAAAGAATAAAAGCCCCGTGTTTAGCACTGGACATTGGAGTAAAATTTGGAGAGTGATTAGCACTATACTGTGACGAACATTGGAGAACATGGAGAACATTGGAGAACAATGGCGAAATATAGAGACTGTGGCGAAATATGGAGACCGACGCGGCTTGATTATGACTCAGGCGGCTCGCTTAGCAGCTCGTTTGGCGGCACGGCAGCTCGGCGGCTCGAGCGGCTTAGCGGCATGGCGGCTCAGGCGGCTCGACGGCTCGGCAACACGGCGGCTTGAACGGCTTGACGGCTAAGCAAAGTCGTAGGCAAACGGGCGTAATCGGAGCCTAGCGGAGTCAATTCGCGTAGGGAGGCAAAACCCTTGAGCGTGTCCGACTGAGGCGAGGGCGCAGTCCGATTTGAATGGTGATAGTATGCGTTATTTTAAAGATGTTTAGCATGGAGAAAAACAAAAGATAATTGAAGGAAAATTACGGAGAAAACAACAAATGAAAAAAACATCATGAAGAAAATCATTATTGAAATGCATAAATACATAAGGGGTACATATCTTAGCAGGACGTCTCAAGGATATAAACGCCTAAGGTGTTCGATGTACCAGGAACTAGGGATGTCAACGTCGTCTTGATCACCGAGCCTATATGACCTTGGTCGGGTCACAGCCTTGACGACTTCTTGGAGTCGGCGATGCAAGCCTCCATTCTGGCTGAGATGTGTATTGCTTCGGCGATGGCAAGTCCTTCTCTTTTTACGATCGTGGCGGTGGAGATGTTGGCGCGCGGTGTGAGGGCATACCTGCTCCGTTGGAATCTTCAACGCCAGATAGACATAATGGGCACTGACCATGAACTTGGCAAGAGGCGATCGGCCAAGGGCGGCGTGGTAAGGCGGTGTCGAAATCGCCATTACGAAGAAGTTCACGTATCAAGACGGAAGTGGTCGGCGGTGCCAAACTGGACTGGCAAGGTGATCTGCCCCAAAGGTTGGGACGCTCTGCCAGGTACAATCCCCCCAGAATGGAGAATCAACAGGGACGAGATCGTCCTTTGTGAGGCCTAACTCAGTTAGGGCTCCCGCGAAGAGGATATTGAGGGCACTCCCACCGTCAATGAGGACCTTCTTGAACCGCACGTTGCGGATGGTGGGATTTAACACGAGTGGGAAACGCCCTGGGTATGGGATATCTGCCCACTGGTCGGCCCTATTGAATGTGATAGGATGCTCCGACCAGTCCAGATATTTGGGATCGGCGACCGCGCCGTATTGGGTGATCGACATGACCTGCCGAGTGGTGAGCTTTTGCTGGCATTTCCTCTCGGAGGCGGCGTACCCTCCGAAGATTGTGGCGACGGTCTTGTTGGCATCTTGGAAAGCGGGTCGTGCATCCTTAGGGACGCTCCTCCCCTTTACCATCATCTGACTCCTCGTCCTTGCGCGTCTGCTGTTTCTGTTCCTCATCGCGAAAAGCTTTGGCCATGCCATGGCACTGCCGCATGGTGTGCTTGCTATTCTTGTGAATTGGGCACGGACTGTCGAGGAGCTTTTCGTAGGCAGCGCTGAAATTGCACTTTGTGCGTGGCTGCTCTACATTGTTGATGAAGTTTTCCGGTTGGCGACGACGTGATTGTGCAACCCTCGATCCCTCTGGCCAATTATTATGACGGCGTTCGCGATCGTCGTAGCGCCTGTCGCAATCTTCATAACACCGTTCTTCGCGGCGATCATCATCACGACGTGGGTGGCGATCCGAGCGGGAAGCACGAGCAACGTCGTCCTTGAACTGCCGATCGGCTTCTTCGGAGTCTGCGTACGAGTTTGCAACCTTGAGGAGTTCGCCGATGGTCTGGGGCCTCTTGCGGTAAAGTTTGGAGCGCAGCTCCTGATGGTGATGGAGTCCTCTTGTGAAAGCGGAGATGGCCTCGCTGTCCCCAATGTTGGGGATGGTGTTCCTTGTTTCGGAGAAGCGCCTGATGTAGCTTCGCAGAGGTTCCCCAGAGGTCTGATGGAGTTTCTCCAGATCATATTTCGTGCCAGGCTGCTGGCACGTTGCCATGTAATTCTCGATGAAGACTTTCTTGGGATCATCCCAAGATTCGATGGAATCCTCTCTTAGGCCCATAAGCCAATTGTTGGCTGTCTGGGAGAACATGACAGGCAAATAATTTTCCATTACGTCATTGTTTCCCCCGGCGGCACGTACGGCGATCTCGTAGAGCTGCATCCACTGCTCGGGATTAGCCTTGCCGTCGTAGGGATCGACCCCGAAGATCTTGAAGCCTACGGGCCACTGTACAGCTCGCAGCCTTGCTGTGAAGGGGCGGGGTCCCGTCGGCTCGATAGCGGGGAGTGGTCGGAGGCCGACGGGGTCGCCGTGTTGGTCGTCGTACTCCTGTCGGCGTTGGAGTTCTGCCTGATGTCGCTGGGCATGACAGTTCTCGATGCGATTGCGGACATCGAGATTGGTGTTGATGCGGTCACGGGCGTCACCGCGCAGGGGTTGATTAACCTCCTGGTTGGCGTTACGAGCTGGTCGGCCATGCTGATTTTGCGGTCCTTGTGATTCAGGATTGATGGCAACATTGCCCCTGGGCCCCCCTTGGACGATCTGGCCACTATGGTAACGACTCCCCCCATCACGGCGAAAACTACGGGGGTTACGACTGCGTGCGGTCGCTGTCGAATAAGACGGAGCTGGGTTCCGGATGTCGTTGACTTGGACCTGAGCTGCTTTAAGCAGTGCTTGAATCTTGAGTACCAACGGCGTTGGTGGGAGTCTAGCCAACTCGTGGGTAGTCACAGCCAGATTGGCGCTCGGCGTCTGCTCTACTTGCTGGTTGTTCACCATGAGGAACTCTTGTTGAAGATTACGGGTGAGAGGCGGCGGGACACCTCCAGCAGATTGGACGGTGTTTTCTGCTTCTTCGTTGCGACATCGCTGGCGATCAACGTTCCTAGTTTCGCGCTCACGGCGTTGGACACTGGTTTCTCCATCGATAGCGATGCTATCGTGGCTAACCATGAAGAGCTCTCTCCCAAAGCCTGGAGGGAAAGGTGGGCAGGTGCTGGTAGAGCCTTCGGAGTATGGCTCGGGGCTTTCCTCCAGGATTGTTTGGAGCGTGTCATCCGGAAGGTCTGTTTGGATTTGCACCATGTTTACCATTGGTGCAAGCTGGTCAGCCTCAAGGAAGTCGATCTGATAGAGGTTGTCGACGCAGCTGCGCTCGGCGTGGTCGGCGAAAAGATGGTGCACGGCGTCCTGACAGATTGGACCCGCACCCACCAGCCTGAAAGAATAGGGCTTCGGTATGCTCTCCGTCGGGGCGAGGAGTGGTCGGAGTTGAATGGTATGCCCTTCTGGAGTTGCCGTGATCACCAGATCGGAATCTGGCCGCCTTAAACGAAGTGGCTGAGCAGGTCGCTCGGTTGTAGCTGCTTGGTGATCTTGGAGTACGGGAAATTCGTCGCTCGCTCTGGATTGATCTAAGACCGAACCCACGAGGAGCTGACATTCTGCTAAGCGATCTGTGACCCGATCGATGGATGCGATCAGATCATCATTGCTGATGGATCTCCTAACCCAGTGGCGGGGCGTCGGGATCAGAGATGTCGTTGCAAGTGTTAGCGCGATCGACGCAGGGTGATCCTGCACCGCTTCCACGATCTCCCCGTTGCCGTCGGGGCCGATGATCCAAGTCATGGATCCGACCGTGAAGATCTAGCCCGGCTCGGGAAAGGCCATGGAGCTCGGAAAAGTGACCATCTGGTTGGCCATGGAATCAGCACGCACACCCCCTACCTGGCGCGCCACTGTCGACGAAATCTAGTCGGCAGTCTGCCGAGGGGTATACCCACGGTAGTAGATGATCGGTGGAGGTGCGCGTAATAGGAACCGGATGGTGACACAAGGCGCAGAGACAACGGTTTAAACAGGTTCAGGCCGTCTGATCAACGTAATACCCTACGTCCTGTGTCTTTAGTTGATTGTATTGAATATGAGATGAATTCGAGGGGGTCCCTACCCGCCTTATATAGTCTGGGGGTAGGGTTACAAGTCGGTTAGATCTAGATCTATTCGGGTATATGGTAAGTATTTACAAGGAGTACGATATCTATCATATCCGAACAAATCCTTCTCTATCTTAAAGATTCTTTCCTAAAACCGTGTGATGCATGCCGATCAGTGTCTTGCATCACACGCCTTCTTCTTATGGGCTAGACCACCCCTGGTGCTGCATCCCATGTCCATTGCCATGGGTATCTGGGGTTATACACCCCACACACACACAAAAGACGTATGGTCGAAGTAGCACAGGTTATAAAAGTGATGAATGAAAATATACTATTATTCTTTCTAATATCACTAATTTCAGGGCCTATTGCCTGGTGGTCTTGAAGTAGCAGTCAAAAGACTTGCGCCATGTTCGGTACAAGGTTTATTAGAGTTCAAAAATGAAATTCAGCTGATAGCAAAACTTCAACACAAAAATCTCGTCAAGTTGCTAGGCTGCTGTATCCAAGGAGATCAAGAAAAGATGCTTGTCTACGAATATATGCAAAACAAAAGCCTGGACCTCTTCATATTCGGCAAGCCTACACTAACTTTTCAACATTCTCACATGCTACAGTTTGGAGTGCTTACAATTTTTCAAATGTTTTAACAATTTTGTTCGCATTGTGCAGATGTTAAGAAAGGAGTACAATTGAACTGGTCTACGCGCCTACATATAATTGATGGAGTAGCACAGGGAATCTTATATCTTCACAAACACTCGCGCTTATGTGTTGTTCATAGGGATCTTAAAGCAAGTAACATTCTCTTGGACAGCGACATGACTCCCAAAATTTCTGATTTCGGGATGGCAAGAATATTCAGCTCAAACATGACAGAATCAAATACAACCAGAATAGTAGGAACACAGTAAGAACAAATGCACTTGGCGTTATTTAAAATACCATGTCAGTGACTCATGTGTCAGTGACACATGTTATGGTGTCATCCGTAATAATGGTAAAAAATTAAACGCCCCCAATTATACATCATGAAGCGCTTCTATATGTTCTAAAGAGAGTAATGTGTATAACTTTAACTGTTATTTAAATAGAGCTCCAAGGTGAGCATTGACAAATGCAGAGTTTTCTCTTGGATAAACATAGAAGCATGTTATCAATTTAACATAGTTTTCAATTTATCTACTTATTCCTTTTTTATGAATACTATATAACAATTTCACTTCTTCCACTCAGTGGCTACATTTCTCCAGAGTATGCCTTTGATGGAGTTTGCTCAATCAAGTCAGATGTCTTCAGCTTTGGAGTCTTGGTCTTAGAAATTATAAGCGGAAAGAGGACTACTGGTTTCTATCCATATGGTGGAAAATCATATAATCTCATTTCATATGTAAGTAGAAGTTACTCTAACACTGCTTGTTATATGCTCTTGGAGCATTGTTTGCTTAACAAAAGCATACCATTTTCTAATAGGCTTGGAAACTTTGGAAAGTTGGAGAATGGCGCCAACTCGTGTGTTGTCGTATATGAGAAGATCATGAGGTGATAGAAAGATGCATTCAGGTGGCACTTTTATGTGTTCAAGAGAATGCAGAGGACAGACCTGCTATGGATCTTGCGGTTAGCATGCTAAATAGTGAGAGTGTGATCTTGCCTAAGCCAAAGCAACCAGCTTACTTCTTTACACGCTCTATCCAGTCAGAAGTTTCATCATGCAGCATGAATATAAGTATTACATTAGAAAGGTAGAGTGACAATCCAAAAGAATGTGAACCAACCATGTTGCTGGGGTGCTAATAGAGCTCCAAGTCTAAACTCTAAACTAGTGGTTTGTCTCATTGTCTGTATCTATGATCTTTTGTTTTTGTTTAGCCCTTCCGCTTTTTTGTTTCAGGGTGTATATTAGTGTAATACAACTCTGCCCTTTCTTGTTACTTGTATAGTTATATGACATTCTCTCTTCTCTGTATCCACAATTACATGGTCCTAACTAAAAGAGCCATTAGGGTGCTGTAAATTGTACTGGTTGTAACATGACAACAACAAGAAATGGTATGCAAGCTACTTTAAATGCTATGCTCTTTTGCGATTCTCTCCAGATTCTAGACGTGTTATAGGACTAAGACAGTAAACTGGTCAAAAAAGTAGTATAACTAAAGATTAATGTTTATGTAAAATAAAACTGTAGAATAATGCTCTATGCAATATATTGGGCATCAGGTTATCAAGCAAGTCTGTTTCTGTTTAGAAAACTAGCCATGTCTGTATTTGCAAAATCCTGGTACAGAGAAGCACATACAACTATTATAAATCTAAAATATCTGAGTGTCATTTTCAAATTGGATAAAACTACGGGTTAAAAGGACAAAAAAAAATGTAGTCATACTAACGAGACTGGCGAGTAGGAGATCAACATTTCGTCGATTTCGATTTGGTCCTAAATCGAAGGCCCCAACGGCCAACGCAAAATCTCGAAATGACTGTACCATCCAGGATTAAGGACTTAAGGTGGCATCCTACCAGGAGCAGTGCGGTGCCTTTAAGAGCTGTGAAATGCGATGGAAAATAGGGGTGGTAAGGGAACAGGAGATTTAACCTGCGCGGCCGGTGGGGAGCAAGTGCAAGTGAGATGCGCGGAACAAGACAGTGGGCCAGTGGCTACCGTGCTTGCGCGCGCCGGGCACGCCATTGGGTGGCTTTACCCCGTCCGCCGGCGGCTGGGCGAGGCGTGTGGTGGGTGCCGACTGGGAACTTGGGAAGGCGGCGGTGTAGCCGTGTAGGCGGCTGCCGGGACCGGGAGACGGCCACCGGCTGGACAGGAAGAGGCACAACTCGCAGCGCTTCGGAGTTCAGGCGCTTCGGAATTTGGAACACAGAAATTGCAGGAATCAGTTTATTTTTATAGAAAAAAACGCAGGAAGGGAATTTTTCTCTACGATCCAAAGGGAGCCTCAGACTGTGGAGACTGGCACGTGTTTGGTTTAGGGACTCTTAATGAATGTATCTTCGGTAATGCTGCCTGTACGGCGTCCGGACAGACGGATGGCACTTCGTAAGTCCCCTTCTCAAAAAAACAAAAACAAAAAAAAGGACAGCGTTGTTCCCTTCTCTAGCGCCATAGTTGACCATGCAGCCCGAGTCCGTCGGCCCGGTCCAAGGCCCGTTTTTTTGGCCTAGCCCAAGCATGGCCCGGCACGGAGGCTAGCGGGCCCGGGCTGGCCCGGCCCGGAGCAGCAGGCCGTGCCTGGGCCTGACCCCAGGCACGTGGGCCGGCACGGCATGGCCTGCTATAGAGCAATCAGCCCGCCCCCCCCCCCCCGCGCCGCGCCCTGCCCCCACATATAAGCGGCTCCCCCCGTCACCTCGCCTCCTCACCTCTCCACTCTCCTCGCCCGCTCCGCAGTCAGCAGTCGTCTCGCCTCCTCGTCCGCTCCGCTCTCCTCTCCAAACCCTAACCCTAATCCCCAGTTCCCCACTCGCTCGCTGGCATGCAGCTGTGTGAGCCCCCTTTCGCCAGGGCCTCGGCCTCGCCACGGCCAGCCGGCTCTGCAGATCCGCTCCCAACCCTAACCCTAATCCCCACTCGCTCATTGCTCACTCACATGGCGCAATCTCTGCTCTCTCTCCGCCATCGCGGCCGCATCCACGATCTGGTGAATCGAGCTCTCTCTCGTGATCTCATCGATCTCGTCCGGTCTCCGACTTCGGTGACCTCGATCCGCCTCTCCTCCCTTCTCCCTCTCTCCTCCATTCTCCCTCTCTTTTCTCTTGCTCTCGGTGAACTATGTGAGTTCGTGACCGTGTTCCCGTCCCGTCCCTCCTTCGCCGTTCGCCATCGTTTCTAATCGGTCTCTCTCCTTTGGGTGGCCCTCGTCATCTCCGGCACAGGGCTCCGGTTGCGTAGGTACTCCGTTAACCCTAACCCCAACCTTAACCCTAGATCTGTCTTCTCCACTTCTTATGTCTCTTCCACTGACTCTGGATCTGTACCTCTATGGCTCTATCTCTTTGACTCTGTTTTTCTCCTACATGCAGGTCGGTTGCCGATGCCTCGTCATCCTCTTCCTGTGGCATAGACAGAGCACGGCGGCCGCGCGCACCGTTGTGGAACGGTGCTGGAGATAAGCCTTCCGCGATCAAGGTCGCCATGGCGGATGACGATGATGTTATCTATCCACTCACCGGCAACGATGACCTGATCGCGGCAGGGCTGCTCCCAGAGGACGACGGCGACATCCGTGACGACGCTGCTGCGTTGTTGGGTATCGATGTCGGTAGCGGCTCTGCTCCGATCGATCTGGACGGTGGCGACGACGACAGGGACACCGATCGGCTCCAACAGCACAGATGGTACCTCATGCCTTGGTAAGCGTAAATCTGATGTCTGGCTTGATTTTGATGAGATCTATGAGACTGTGAATGGTCAAAAGGTTCGAACTACTGCTATCTATAAAATGTGTAAGAGTAGATTGTCCGCTAGATCTTCTGTTAGCACTGGCCATTTGATTAGGCATCAGAAATCTTGTAGGAAAAAGGTTGATCATGCTGCTAGGGTTCAGTCTAGGCTTTCTTACAATCCTGATGGATCTGTGCATAACTGGGACTATAATCCTGCTGTTGCTCGCTCTGAGTTGTGTAGGTTGATTGCTAGGCTTGACCTTCCATTAGGTATAGGTGAGTCACAGGCATGGGAGGATTATATTGTTCTTGCTCATAACCATAGGTTTGCTGAGGTTTCTAGACAGACCACCACTAGAGATCTTGGTAAGCTGTTTACTAAATGTCGTGATAAGCTTAAGAATTTTGTGTTGCATGCTGCTTCTTTTGTTGTTTTGACTTTAGACATTTAGTCTGGTAATGCTAAGGAGGACTATATTAGTGTTGTTGCTCACTATATGAATGTTGATTGGGAGTTACAGAAAAGGGTTATTGGTTTTAGGCTAATTGAGGTTAAACATTCTAGTGAAAACATTACTAAAAGAATTGCTGCTGTGGTTGAGGAGTATTGTCTAATTGACAAGATTTTCTCTGTCACTCTAGATAATGGTTCTTCTAATGCTAGGGCTATGAACACTTTGACACCTCTATTTGCTTGTTACTTGGGTCCTGATCCTTCACCTGATCCTTTGGATCCTAGTAACCGTAAGTACAGTCTTGTACATCAACGTTGTGCTTGTCATATCATTAATCTCATTGTAAAATCTAGATTAAAGAGGTTGAAACCTTACACAGAACATTTTAGAACTGCAATTAACTTCTTAAATTCCTCTAATCAAAGAATTGCATTGTTCAAGGAATACTGTAATGCTAAGGGTGTTACACCTAGAAAGTTTGGCTTGAATATGGATGTTAGATGGAATTCTACTTACCTAATGCTTAAATACTTGGTTCCATATAAGAATGTCTTTTCTGTGTTCATTAATCTCCATTATGGTTCACAATTGTTGACTACAAATCATTGGTATTTTGCTAAGAAGTTACTGGAGTTTCTGGAACTCTTCTATAACTCCACTGTTGTGCTGTCTGGTGTTTATTATCCTACAAGTCCACTTGTTTTGCACCATATCCTAGAGATTGCTTCTCATTTGCATGCATGTGAAAAAGATCATAATCTGAGAGCTATTGTATTACCTATGAAGCTTAAGTTCCTTAAATATTGGCAGGACATACCTCTGTTATATTCATATCCATTCATTCTTAATCATAGAGCTAAGATGAGAGGTTTCTTTAATGTGCTTCAATTACTTGGTGAATACACTAGTTCTGAGTACAGTTCATACTATGCTGATGTCAAAACTGAATTGTATAAACTGTTTAACAAATATGAGAGCAAGTTTGGTGCATCTAGGTCTCAAAGGGTTGCACAACCATCACATCATACAGGTAAGAAAAAGCAGGCCTGGGGAAGAATCTTTGGCCGTGGATCAGGTGTTGTTGGTCCTTCCCTTCTCCTTGCCACTTCATCTTCATCTACTTCTGTTGTTTCTGAGCTATTAGCTTACTTAGACAGTGACAATGTCACTTCTTATAAGGATGATTTTGACCTACTTCTGTGGTGGCGTGACCACAAGCTAACCTTTCCAATCCTGTCTATAATGGCTGGAGATATCATATCAGTTCCTGTATCTACTGTCTCTTCAGAGTCTTATTTCAGTTTGACAGGTAGGATAATTGAGGAACGGCGGCGGCGCTTGTCACCAGAGACTGTGGAGATGCTGACCTGCTTAAAGGACTGGGAGTTAGGAGAAAAAAGGGAACAGCATGTTGTTGACAACCAAGAACTTGATGACTCATTCCAGAACTTGTACCTTGATGAAGATGGACCTGCTGGTGGTGCTCCTGGTACTTAGTGAGGTACTGAGGTTGGGACTTGCCTCATAAGTGTGTGTGTGTGTGTGTGATCTATGACTGTGAAAGGGTGTGTGTGACTGTGAAAGACTTGTCTATCATTTAAACAATGGTTAATTAAGAGCTGGCTGCACTCTTTTTCCCTTTCTAGGGTTTCTCACAAGGGTGAGTTTTATCTAGAAAGGTTTTTAATGAGGC